CCACGAACCTTGTGTTGAATTGGGAAAAATGTCATTTTATGGTTCGTGAGGGGATTGTCTTAGGACATAAGATCTCATCCAGGGGGATAGGTGTAGATCAAGCTAAGGTTGATGTGATTGAAAAGCTACCACCTCCTACAAATGTCAAAGGGGTAAGAAGCTTTCTTGGACATGTTGGATTCTACAGAAGATTCATAAAATATTTTTCCAAGATTGCTAAACCCCTTTGCAATTTGCTTGTGAAAGACACTCAGTTTGAGTTTGATGATGAGTGTTTGAAAGCTTTTGAGATATTGAAAGAGAAGCTAGTCACAGCCTCTGTTGTAGTTGCACCAAATTGGACTCAAGATTTTGAGTTAATGTGCGATGCTAGTGACTATGCCATTGGGGCTGTATTGGGACAGAGACGTGGCAAAGTTTTTCATGTTATTCATTATGGCAGTAAAGTTTTGAATGGTGCACAATTGAATTATGCCACAACTGAAAAAGAATTTTTTCCAATTGTGTATGCTCTTGAAAAGTTTAGACCTTATTTGATAGGATCTAAAGTTATCATTTACACTGACCATTCAACCATAAAATACTTACTGGCAAAGTCTGATTCAAAACCACGTCTCATAAGATGGGTTTTACTGTTACAGGAATTCGATCTTGAGATAAAAGACAAAAGGGGAGCGAGAATGTCATTGCTGATCATTTGTCGCGCCTTCTTAACACTGAGGTGACTGAGAAAGAAGGAGAAATTAAGGGAGAATTTATTGATGAGCGTCTGATGCTCATACAACAGAGGCCATGATTTGCAGATATGGCTAATTTTAGGACTGCAGGAATTCTCCCTGATGATTTGACTTGGCAGCAAAAGAAGAAGTTTCTACATGATTCCAAAGAATATCTTTGGGATGATCCTTATCTCTTCAAGTTGGGTGCTGACCACTTACTGAGGCGGTGTGTCACAGCAGAGGAAGCTGCTGGTATCCTATGACATTGTCATAACTCGCCATATGGAGGACACTATAATGGAGAAAGGACAACTGCTAAAGTGCTTCAATCTGGGTTCTTTTGGCCAACCTTATTCAAAGACACACATGTTCATGCAAAAGGTTGTGACAAATGCCAAAGAACTGGAAGCATTTCAAAAAGACATGAGATGCTACTGTAGGATATTTTAGAAGTTGAAGTGTTTGATTGTTGGGGAATGGATTTTATGGGACCATTACCTTCTTCCTACAACAATGAATACATCTTAGTAGCAGTGGATTATGTCAGTAAGTGGGTGGAAGCAGCAGCATGCCAAAAGAATGATGCTAAGACTGTGCTCAAATTTCTCAAAAGACAAATCTTCTCAAGATTTGGAGTGCCTAGGATCCTCATAAGTGATGGAGGATCACATTTCTGTAACGCTCAATTGGCTAAGGTCTTGACACACTATGATGTGAGGCATAAGATTGCCTCACCTTATCATCCTCAGACCAATGGCCAAGCTGAAGTTTCTAACAGGGAAATCAAAAGAATCCTTGAAAAGACTGTTTCATCATCAAGAAAGGATTGGGCTGCCAAATTAGATGATGTCCTTTGGGCATATAGGACTGCCTTAAAGACTCCTGTGGGGCTAACACTCTTCCAGTTAGTCTATGGCAAGTCATCTCATCTCTTAGTTGAGATGGAACATAAAGCATATTGGGCACTAAAATTCCTTAACTTTGATTCTTCTCTTTGTGCAGGTAAAAGAAAGCTTCAGTTGCAAGAGTTGGAGGAAATGAGGATGACTGTTTATGATTCTTCAAGAAAATATAAAGAAAGGGTCAAGATGTACCATGATAAGAAGCTGATAAAGAGAAAGTTCCAACCTGGACAACAGGTATTGTTGTTCAATTCCAGATTCAAATTGTTTCCAG